ATTGCATTGCATAACTGATAATATAAAATGATTACAAATAGTAAATAACAAAGCGATTAATTTAAACAATCAAAGCTCTCTGTCCATTATAATTACTATAAACTTATTAGACACTACACAACGATACCAGTTAGGAAAAAAAAAATACAAACCAAATTTCAAAATTCTAATTCTAGAGAGAAGTGACGTGAACTAAAAAACTTAATATTATAAAAATCGAACAAAACACTAATTGTCTAATTGTGTAATTGTATAATAACTAATAATCCAGATGCTCTTAATAATTTCTTTCTAAGCTCCACTGCCTCTAACACCTTGCCCAACCCAGAACTTCTTAACTTTTAAAAAAGAACATTATTGACAGAATATGAATATGACTATCGAAGTTGAAGTACTATTAAGGTGAAGGCAACAGCAAGCGATAGTATTAATATCACTTTACTGCAACTTTATTGCCCCCTAATTATAAAGTATATTGTCCACATAACAAATTTATTTTGTCCTCATATTTTCCTGTACTGTGGAAACAAGTCATACCCCAAGGTAATGTAAAAGAACCTACAGAGTTTGATCATTTGCATTCTATGAGTATTCTTCCCACACTCTCTAAGATTCTAGAGAAAATAATGGACAAGTAAATAAGAGCAATTCTCAATATTTACAGTATTGTGCGCCCACAACAATCGGGACATAGATCTGGTTATAGATGTGAAAGCGTTCATGACATTTTGGCTTGTGATAAAAAAAAATTGCTGCCTTGGTTTTACTTGATTTTAGCAAAACCTTTGACACGATAAATCATGAAATCCTCATTTGAATTCTCCATCACATAGGATTCAGTGAAGAGTCTTGTAAATTCGTTCTTTTTAAAGGACGGAAAACAAAAAGTGATAATTAAGGAATCAACCTCTAGGGCTTCGGCTGTCAACAAGGGAGTACCCCAGGGTAGTATTTTAGGTCCATTTCTGTTTGCGATTTTTACAACCAGATTTCCATCATTACAGTCTCGTGATGCCCACTGTACTTTTTTTTCTGAGAAGTGCCTCAATGAAACAAATATTATCCAAAAGAACAAATACCATAATAATAACAATATTTTTATTAGTCAAATTTCAAGTGAAATAAACGTTGGGAATATTTTTTTGTCAATTGTCACTTTAATATAACTGGTAAGTTAATTTTTTCCTTTAATGATTTCCACAGTCTTCGTGAGTACCTAAATTCATGTTCCTCGAGGTGCTGATTTGCTGATTTCAAACTCGTGCAGTTTTGAAGAAAAAACGTGCCACATTCCCCTTTAAATAAGCAAAATCGTAAAATAAAAATACATCAATACATTATTTTTTATTTTATGGGCGATTCTTTAGTTTTTGAATTGTAATCTAACATTTTAAGTAATATAGAGTATAATTAACTATATTTGAGTTTGCAATTTCATACGTCGGGTTTTTTATTAACAGGTGTCCAAATTATTGCTAGGTTTATCTGGATCAGGCTTTAAATTTTTACAGCCGATTGACGGGACAGGGTATCAGATTTCTTTGTAATCTTCAAATGACAATACTAGTAAACATGAATGAATGATAATTTATCACTGAATCGTAACCGCAAACTCTTTGTAGACGACAATCATATCGAAGTTTTCCATTTTCACAAAACTTAATTATTTTTTTATGATTTATCCGCACCCTAATTGTAAGTGTTATTAAGGAATACTTTGACTGAAACTTAATTGCTATAAATTTAATTTAGAAATTTATAATCAGGAGTTTACTGCTTATGCAGCTGTAAATTTTTGCACCCAATATCTCCTAAAGTTTTAAAATCAATGTGTGCACACTTAAAATGCTTTCGTCAGGGGTAGTTTTTTCTAGATCGCTTCACTCGAATGGTTTTCAATGCCATCGGTCCGAAGGAACTTTTTTCTGAAATAAATTACCTCCACATTATTACCTCTGACACGTTTACTTAGTGAGGAAAATTCGAATTTATGATGGAAAATGTCAATATACTTTTTTCGACTTTAATAGCGGTATTTTATGGTCTCAAACGGGTCGCAAAATGGGATTCAAATATCAATATTTTGATTTTGCTCTCTTTGTTTGGCATATCAAGAGGTCAGGGGCACGTAAACGAAGCATGTTCTCTTTATCTTTATAGTGTAGTGAATTTGTTTAGCAATCGATCAGACAAAGTAAACAACAAAATATAATTAATGTTAATTTCTCAGATTTTGGACCATCTCCTTATTAAGGACCAATACATTCTATTGTATTGATCCCACATAAGCATAAATTAAACAGTGAGTTTTATTTTACGCACTTCACATCCAAAATACCTGCCTGCTCATCCGTGGCCGAGTTGGGTGCAATGACCCACGAATTTGTCCACTAAGGACGCCGATACAGGTGCACATTCGGGTTGTTGTAAATATTGTTAATATTTGCTATGAATAGAGGTTATTTAAATTTGAGATTCTTCCAGGGAGGCTCCATGTGGACAACATCAGCCTCATATCTTATCTCTTTTGTTGCTTCGACCAAACATAGTCTGCAATTCCAGATCCCAATCTGTTTCGTGTGTGTGTTTTTTTGTTCGTCAAGTGGTACGTTTAGACTAGTTTTGGTTTCTCCAATACACGTTCAATCGCAAGGTACAAGATACTCTCTCTTGATTTGACGTTTCGGATATGGTTTTAGTGAAAGCAACAAACAGCTTAAGGTTTTACTATAAAGTTAACGGATATTTATAAAGGGTTTATAAGCAACTTTAGCTTCTATAACAGATTTTGCAGTTTCATAAGAAACCATTGGTGTTATAAGTTTTGTAAGACTTATTTTCTTAAAGAATTCAGAATCTAAGCACAGTTGCCAGAATATTAAATAAAATAGCAAATTTTATAGAATGTGTCCTAGACCCATGATAATATTTTGCTAAGTGCACTGAGCGATAAATCATTGAAAACTAGACCTAATCTAAAAGAAATTCACCAAAATTTAGACTTTCAAGACAATATTGTATTGATAAATACCGAAATGTAGCATTACTCTGCTAGGTTTTTAAAAAACACGTATGGGGTGCTCATTATTAGCCACCATTTTATCTGTATTGTACGACATTACAGTCATTTCAGATTCAGTCGATTCAGGGGGGCGGAAAACAGCCCCTTGTTGGAGTCCCGTGCTCTTGGAATGACCGTCAAAGAAGGTATTGATTGCTCAACTTCTTCGGTTGAACAATTTTAAAAGTTTGCAATAAGTAAACAATTGAAAAGTGAGTTTATGATTGCATAAGTGACATTGGACATTGGGCTACTTTTAGTTTTATGGCTGTAAAGAAATTTTTATAAATACCATTTTGGTAACTAGCAGCTAAGTATTCAAAAATTCAAAAAGATAGTTTTCTTTTCTAAAAAGCGACCATGGCATTGCTTATACGGGCGCCATTGCTACATTTTTTCGAATCGATATAAATATCAACATAAAAAATAATATACAAAAATATGAAGCGAATGGGGGTGTTTTTTGGTGTTTAAAAACACTTTACGTAGGTTTTACAGCGGTAACAAAAATATATTCCTTGAGGTTATCAAACTTATTTATAGTGGATAAAGGTATTTGCAACCTCTTAGTTGCAAATAAATAGGAAGTAAAAGTTTTATATGGAACTAAAATTTGGTTACTGTAACCTTTATAAGCTTAAAGTGAAATAGCGGTTTTATAGGATTAACGAAAACGTTTCGCGAACAATTGATATGTTTTATAAAATCAGTAATCGAGAAGTGACCGTTACCATTATGAAACAAAAAATAAAAATGGTAGTTGAGCTTTTAAAGTCGCTGCTGATGTTTTTTTATAATAAGTTTTTTATAATAATATAATAATAATAATAATGTTATTATTATTATAATTTTAAATTAATCAAAAAATACTAACTTAAAATTAAAATAAAAATTAATTCATTAAATGAGTTCCTTCTGAAGTTAATTTTAACCTTAACCAAAAAGACATTAATTTGCAGAAAAAATGAAGCCGTGCTTAATTATAGCACAAGAAATCTCTCTTTCTGTCTCCCTTACGGTTCTCTAAATAATAATAGAAACAATTTATTGAATGTTGAAAAAAATTAATTAAAAAGTTTTTCCCAGAGCTTGGTGGAAATTAAATTTCGGCTAAACACCGTAACAACTTAATCGTTGTTTGAGGCGTAAAACGCTGTTGGCATATGGATCGCTCTAAACCAGACATCAAGTGTAATGTTACGCATTAACGATGGCCCCTGGCGGAATACATGCCTTTCGCAGTATTCCAAAAGTGCCTAACTATCATTTGGTCATAATGTTAAGCAGCGTGCTTTAGCCGGGTAATTGCTTAATTAGGCTTAAATATGAGCAGGAAAAATGTTTGGACTACACGCCAGAGTAAGTTAATATTACCTGAAATCACTAAATATGTAATTATCGGTACATATTGTTTAGTTACTTATATATACTGTAAAAAAAATCGTATTATTGAGAAAATTTGAAAAAAGTGATGAATGTACTATTAGAAAATCCGAAGCAAAGAATTGCAAAAATATGGTTAAATGGATAAAGATATAGAAAATTTCTTACTCTGCAAATTTTATAAAGAAAACATTTATGGCATCAGCCAGTTATGCCAAGTTGTTCTTCACCAAAAAATTGAAATAATTACCTTATTTTCTTTCACGGGAAGTCGATTTTTTTAATAATTTGTAAATATGATATTTGTTCGCTTTTTTTATCAAATTGACAAACTAAGTCCTTTTAACAAAACACTCAGTGACCATCCGTCAGACCAATTTTGATTCTAATAGCAGATTTAAAAAAAAATAGGTAGATCAATGTTAAACACATATTTTATCGACCTGTAGGACTTAAAAAATTCAATTAAAATAATTGCATAATAAATAATTATTTTATACAGAGTTGTCACGATATGCGTCACCAAAGTTTTGCTCAATGAGCTTATTTCTTTCAGCACTACCACCTAATGGATCGATGGGCAGTGGCGCTGACCTACAGGGTCCCCTCTTTGTCGTCGAGCCTGCGCATCGAGTAGAGTTTAGTAACACCTCTGGAGGAAGAGTGGATTGTTCGGGCCACGGAAGTCCTTCGCCAGAAATTGAATGGGTTGGCCCCGATGGTGCACCTGTGCAACAAGTAATACCAGCTCTATATATTTTTCAAGTACACAAGCATTTGGTTTATGATTACAACATATACTTTACTGGGAGCACCGAGGCAGACTTATCATAAAAAATCCGGATTTATTTCTAAACACATTTTATCACCATAGTCATTTTTTTCCTAAATGGGTTCATCTTCTTGAAAAAAGTGTTTTTTTTTAATGAAACCTCTTATAGGCCAATTTGATTCCGCCTAGTATGAACTTCTGAAAAATGTATAACAGTATAGGGTTATTTGTATAAATGACCTCACAAAAATATTTTTTCATAAATTTTCATTAAGGTATTTGCGGAAGGTCTTGGAAAAAGTATCTATTAAATATCTCAAATAGTTACCTTATTTATTCCTAACAATACACACAATAACAAAATGTAGGATACAAAAAAAATTAAAGGATCATAAATTTAAGCCTTATAACATTGATATCCTGGCGATCCAGATAGGCGATGGTGTATTGCCATTCGTTTTTGGAGTAAATTAGTCGGCTGAAACTTTCAAAAGCAAAATACTTGACATTGGTATCAAGAACACCAAAATATCATATTTGAGCAAGAACAACGACGTTTTGGTTTTGATGTGGCTTGTTTCATACTAGGCACTAAAATCGTATATGGTATTTTTGAAGGTGTTCTGACTGCCGAGTTGTATATGGAAATATTGCAAGATATGATACCAGAATTATTAGATTATGTACCGTTGGCGCACATAAATTCGATATTTTTTCAACAAGATGGGGCACCCGCTTATAATCCCAGACAAGTAGGGCCCTTTTGAGAGCACACTTTTGGAGATAATAGAATAGGTAATAATGGGCCTAACAGGTGGACGCGAGGTCCTCTCTCACATTTAAATAGTAAAATAAATGTCAATCGCCACCATAATATCGGAGAGCTCCGAGCAGCCACAGAAGCAGCTTTTGAAGGTTTGCAAGAATGCAACCTCTTGTTATTCTAAAAGCTTTGGAAAGGATTAAAACAGTGTGCAGGTGGTGAGTCTCTAGAAAATAGTAGACATTTTCAACATTTTTTTTAACTTTATAAATTAAATTATATTCAGATTTGCAAAAAAATGCTAATATTTAATAATTTTTATGTTTCTTATCATTGCAAATATTGTTTTCATATCTAGATTCTCGATTTGGTTTATCTTTTTTAATAACATATAGGTCACAAGGCCATCTAAAATGTTACAAATAAAATTTTAAGTTGGCTTCATGCAAATTATGAAAGTTATTGTGTAAATATTGCCAGGAATAAATAAGGTAATTATTTTAAATATTTGATATATCTTTTTCCATGGCCTACCGCAAATATCTTTATGAATATTTTAAAAAAATCATTTTTGTGATGTCATTTCCACAAATAACCCCATTCTGTTATACAATTTTGAGAGGCTCATACCAAGCCGAATCAAAAAACATTTTTTTTCCTATTAAAAGGCCAAACCGTTTAGATTCTAGGGATGTCCCAAAACTTCAAATTTCCAAAATCACCCTGTATTCTAAAAACTAAGCAAGTCATGAAAAGCAGGGCCCTAACTGCACTAATAACGGACATACCCTTCAGTCGCGACCAAAATGGGACACAGTGTACTGTAAGAAAAACTCGAGAATATTCGATGTCACACTCACGAAAGCACTTACGCTACTGCAAATCCACCTGCCCCCTTAATCCATTGCTTTGTCAGTTTGACCAATGTTCGTTTTTATTCGTTTTGTCGGTTTTAATGTCTATCTCGACAAGTTTTGATGATCATAATTCGTAGGTAGCCTAAGAATCCTTTTTAACGAGAGCCATTTTCCAATTAAAAACGTTTTGAATTTCAATTATCGCAGATTATCACTTGCGACCAATAACCAAACGATACACGATCAGCTATAATAAAGTAAACAAAAAAATCACATCTTACCATGGTTGCCACATTAAAAATATATACGATATAGCAGTATTCTCACTCATTTCATAAAAGTTCACTCCGCTGCACGTTCCTCATGTCAAACAATAATTTGCAAAAATGTTCGCAACAAATAATTTTTATTGAAAACGTATAAAATGCACCATGATTATGAACGTCTTTCGATACTCTTTTATTAAATTACATTCGCTTCGCTACGCTCCCATCGTGCCTAAACAAACTAGTGACTAAAGTGCGGATGCAAAACTTGTATTGTAAAATTGTATATTGGACAAAAAAATTCTCAATGAGAGTAGGACGAAGGGTACAGATAAAATTAACCACGTACTAGTTTTGTTCCAGCACAAACTTTTATCAGGGTCGTTATTACACATTTCATGTTTATATTTACAAATATTGACTAACACCATTACTAATTAAATTAACTTTGGTGGTAATTAATGGAAACATAATTCTGCTTAACAAATCCGATCCCCCTAATAAAGGAAGTTTACTCACTGTATATCGAAACAACACTAGCAGGTTTAAGAGAAGTGTTCAAATTTGAGGCAACGGGATGCAAGTAAATGCGGTAACACGTTATTCGCGATAAGGTCAAAAGTTTAGCAAACGTAGGATCCGAGTTTCTTTTTTTTTAGTTTTTTTAGCTGGTAGATAAAGTCATCTACTTAATGGGAGATCCCCCTTTTATAGTTTACCGTTAAATTTTAGTCCCTTATTTGCAAGAAACCACACCTCTGACAAAATACCAATTTGTCCATGTTTATCTTACTTGCCTTTATTCATCTCAGCTTTATAGGCTGGTTTTATTGGTTTTTGGTTAGTTTCCTTTTAGAAATTGGCTTTGCCTAGTACTTTCGAACTCATGAATCAAACGAATAGTGAGCAAAGAATGCTCAACCTGAATTAACTTCTGGAGTAAAAGAACCTGTTAAGCAATAAAATTGCCAAATTTTTTATAATATGGTAAATTGTTTGTACCATAAAAAAAATACAATCTACTAATCTGTATGCGAGGTATACTTTAATACACCATGTAAGATTTTCTCTAACATATTAGAACATAAAACGGCAGAGATAGCTCCAAGTATTTTTAAGTTTAATTCCCGAAAGTTTGACCTAAAATATATTTATTATGATTACAAATTCTTATGCTCCAATATGAATTAAAACGAAAATTTTTTAATATATGCAAATCGACTTGCACTTTTTTTTACGCTAAGAGGACTAGGTAGGGTTTACAAAAGATTTTCTTTTCTGATTTGTTTAAGCTCTTGTTTACCTGTTTGTGTAAAAATTATCACTTATATACTTATTTCTTTTGTAGATCCCTGATTTGAGACTGCTTTTTCCAAACGGGTCGCTTATATTTCCCCCATTTTCCAACGACCGTTATCGCCACGACATTCACGCTGCCCTCTACAGATGTAAACTTAAAAGTATGTTGGGAATTGTGATCAGCAGAGAAGTGCATGCCAAAGCAGGTTTGTTTTCGCATTTTTCAATAAAATACATGTATGCGCCGGTAGCATAAGAGCAAAGGAATAGACTTTGCCTATGAAAAAAAGTTTTACTGTAGCAGCTGAGTGAAGAAATTCACGAACTAAATGTCAGATTGACAAATTGCGTTTTATATATCGTGTTTTAAACTATTTTTAATATACAGAATGTTTTGTTTGATTTCGTCTCAGACTGACAGATATTTTTTTTTCTATACGCGCTGTATACTATTCCTAAAAAAAGGTTCTTTTCACACTTCGTACGTAATTGAAATAATGTAGAAACATTTTTCAATTCAAATAATTTCAAAAGCTAAGTTAACTAAAAGCAGATACTTCTTATTTTAACTAAGCAAGTCAAAAATAAATGTGTAATACTTTTGGCCCTTTTGGAACAACTCATAACATATGTAAGTAATTTTTAAAAGTATTTAAATGTATACGTAACTTGCGTTAAAAAAATACATATTTAGCAGTTCGTTTTAAAATTCATTTTTTAATAAATCCAGAAAATGGATAAAACAATTTTCCGAAATATCGGGTATTTCCAAATACTCCAATACTCGTTTCACACTTATAAAATATTGTGGACACGGTAAAAGTACTACTTCAAACAACAAACTTTTTAATTGTCCCTCAAACACATCAAAATATTTTGTTAAAGCCTTGTCAAATGTATTATTTACCCAACATGTTTCCAATGTTGTCGATCCAATTCGGAAAGAAATAGTTTCCAAAGTGGATTTAAACTATTTTTCAAAGGAATTTTTGCGTCTGCTACTAGCTCAAAACAAATTCAATTTCGTGTCTATTTTCTTCTTATACAACGGAAAATAATTCGTTTGCATAATAATAGCTCGTCGTAAACAATGCATTTACGAGTACAGTAAAGAATAAAATGAAACTGCCACAGTTGTACTTTACAACTTTCCTTGTCTGCTTCGATTTAAAGTTCACTTTAGAAAAAGAACCGCCATGAGTACCACGAGTCCCGAAAAGAAAGAATAGATGAAAAAAATTTTTTGCAAGGACCTAAATACAGATGTTCGCTGGAAGGGAAAAGCGAAAAATATTAGCAACGCATTTGCTCCCCATTGTTAGCTTTGTGCTACTACTGTGTTATCATGTGTTGATGTCGCAGGTACCAAGGAACTAATGGCAACTTCATTATATGAATAAATAAGAATAAATAGATATACAACCTGGATCAAAAAGTTTGCGGAATTTAGTTAAAAAATTAAAAATATAAGTTTATTCATCTAAATCTGTATTGTCACATTTAAAGTAATCCCCATCAACTGCAACAGGCCTATGCCAGGGCTTGATCTAATCCTCGAAATATTTTTTATATTCGGTTTTCGGTACGCCATCAGTGCTTCCTGTGAGTTTTTCCATTACTACCTGACTGCTGAAACGCGTTCCCCGTAGTAGTTTTTTTTAACCCGATTGAACAGAAAGAAGTCACAAGGAGGCAAATCAGGTGTAGTCGGTGACTGTTTTATAGTATTTGTTCTCTCTTTCGGCGAATTGCCTCACGCAAACGTCTCATAACGCCCAAATAATACTTGTTTGTTAATGTTTACTTTCTGTCCTTCTGGCAAAAATACATCATAAACTACACCATGGTAATCCATGATAAGCGTGAGTGTTGTCTTCTTTTTTGACCGAAAACGACATGGTATTTTTGGTCTCGGCTCATTTGGTGAACGTTTGGATGATGTCTAGATTGCGTGTCTTATTCATAAACCCACATCTCGTCTCCAGTAATGATCCTTTTGATGAATGTGGGATCAGATTTAGCCTCGTAAATCATCTCTTTTCCAACGTCAACACGGTCTCTTTTTTTGTATGAAATTGAGATTGTCTGACATCAACAAAAATAATTTAACTCCAGGGTACTTTGAAAACAGTGGGAATTGGATTATAATAAATTCAATCAGCTAAGTGAAGAAATTCATGAACCAAATGTCAGATTAACAAATTGCTTTTTTCTATACCGTGTTCTAATCTATTTTTAATATACAGAATGTTTTGTTCCAGTTCGTCTCAAACTAGCAGATATTTTTGAAAAGAAACTTCCACGCGCTACTGTAATACTTTTTATAAAACTTCTGGATTCCTCCTGCTTCGGTTTTTGTTGAGTCGAACTAACTAACGTTTCGCCAATGATCCTGTTGGTTGAAACAGTTTCAGTCAAGCTCCGAAGAAGCCAACAGGATGATAGTTCGACTCAACAAAAACCGACACAGGAAGAAGTTTTATAAAAGGTATAGCAGATATTTTTTTCCATACGCACTGTATACTATTCTGAAGAAGAAGGTCCTTTTTACACTTCGTATGTATTTGAAATATTATATAAACATTTTTCAATTCAAATAATTTAAAAACCCCAGATTAATTTAAAAACAGATACTTCCTATTTATATAAATGTATAACACTTCTTGCCCTTCCGTACCATATGCAAGTAGTTTTGGTAATGATAATGTTCAAGTGCTCCGCCATCTCTCTGATCTAACCAAAACTAACCACCGTGTAGGTTATGCCGGGAACTTTTTGATCAAGGGGTTGGAAACAAGAAATCAAATAGTTACGAAAATGCCTGACACAAAAATATAGTCAGAGTTTCGGTTTCCACTTTAATTAATACAAAATTGAGAAACCAAGCTTACAAAAGGCGCTGACAAGAAATCCTGCTCGCAGAAAATAAAATTAATTTATGTTCAATTGCTAATTGAGACGTAGATCCAGTCGATGGTGTGCAAATAACTTATTAAATATTAATTCGTAGTGGCATAATTGTATAGGCAATAATAAAAATACCTATTCTTCACAAAAAATATTTATTGATTAATTATTATTGATCGCTGAACAAATTTCCAAAAATTAAAAATGCTTGAAACAGAGCATCTCGGATTTAAATTTGAAATTTGTAAGCAGGCTAGACAACTGCAAAATCCTTTTATGTACTACGAGATTTATGTAAAAATTAAATACAAACTGTTTTTGGTTTTAAGGTCAAATTAAATGAAACACCCTGCGTTTGATGCGAGTTAGCTTTTCCATTCCCATGGTTTGACGAATTGTTATTAATTTTTATTGTCATTTTTTGCCAGAATAAAACCTACTCAATAAGTGTCTAAGCCGATAAGTACGGTATACATTTCGAACCGTCCTTAGTAGTTTAAAACTGGTAGTTTTAAATAAACACGACCTAACATCCTGCGGTTTACTTTGAATACCTAGCTATCTTTAGCGTATTAGGACACAATTAGCATTTTAGTTTGTTTGAAGGGAGCAATGAAACACTGAAATACTGTTTACTAAAATTGTGTCGAGTAAACACATTAGAAAATAATTAAAATATTTTTATATTTATGAAACTGTCTTTTTCTGTACAAATTATACAGGGTGAATCCAATTATAAAATCATCTAAAACTCAACTTTAATTCAGAGGGAGTATTGCGTTCATTCGCCACTTCAATTGTTGATAAAACGATAATGGCAAATTTGTATAAAATGGTCCATACCCACTTCAGCCGTTTCCAAGATATTCTCTATTAAACATTTTTTTATGCAATAAAAACTTCGGATAAAATTTTGATCTTGAATAAAAAATTATAAATATTTTGATGTACTTATTTACATCATCTTGAAACACTTTAATGTAATATAAAATTTGTAATATTCTTAACTAATTTACTAATTTAACAATATATCTCAATATGCTTCGATAAACTTATTAATTTTGGTAAAATAGAGAGTAGGATTACTTAGTAGTATTTTTATGTTTATTGTTCGAAAGTTAATCTTCATTGGATAAAAAATATTTAATAGCGAATATATTTTAAAAGGCTGGATATAGATATAGTTTTTTATATACCAAGTATTGTATGTGAGCAATGGAAATTGCTAATATGATCAGTACAATAATCGATGTTGATTTGATTTAAATAAACTAAACTATTATACACAATGGTGTGATTTCTAAAAAAAATGAATATTAAATGTTAAATGAATTTTATTTTCAAAAAATGGTACATGTCCATAGAAAACTGAGCACTGTGCAAGTCATACAACATAAAAGATCTTTTAAAAACAAATTTTAATTAGATTTTTTATCCCTTAAATTGATTTAAAATAAATTTTATGGCGGTGAACAGTTTCTCGATGCGGACACGCTTCTTTACACTATCACTAAACCAAATTTTTAGCTTCTAAATGAGTACGATCGACAATTCAATTCAGTAGTCGGTCCCGTACACTCGGTTAAGCTCTTCACGATTCGGACCGGACGAAATAGACAAAGTAATTGTTATTCACATCATACAAAGTTAGCACTATTGTTTGATCCACAGAGCTTTTAACGAATTGCATTTAGCTTCCCAGTAACTGAAATAGATTTGGTGTTTCTTTAAGTCCGATTTATTTATAGATCCGTTAAAGAAGAACCTCTTTCCCAATGCCATAATGTTTCTACCCGAATAACCTGGATAAATAAATATTTTCGCAAAAAATTTTGGATCATATTGTACAAAAAATTTTGTTCACACCGATTATATTTCCTTAACTAAGTTATTGGTACCTATATGCAGGGTGGCCCCAGGCTTCCACTTCGGATTTTTAATAATAACTTTTAAATTACCAATATAAATCCAAAAGAGAAGTAATATTTGGCTATGCCACTATTCAATTTTAATTAGAACTACATTTACGTCTTATTAAATTTGTGTCAAATAATTTTTTTTTATTTTAACTATTTAAAGTTTATTATACAAATTTTTCTATAAGTTATATGTTGGCATTACACCATGAAGTTTATTAACTGTCGCAAACGTTCGTCTTTGAGGTAGGGCGTGTTAGCCCATATTGGAGATTAATCGTAGGGTCCGTGGCTAAGATGTTAGCAGCAATGTATCTTACTATATGGCTAGGAAATACCTTACCGGTTCAATTCAACGGCGACAAAGAGAAATGCGTCATCTG